GAACGAAACATATTCATTCACGATTTTGATATTCAAGAAGGAGAATATGTTGGAGAATTAGCCAGGCGAAGTATTGGAAAATTTGAAAAAACGGTGAAATTGCTAAGATTCAACGACCATATTATTCACACGAATGATATTGATTCCTTCTTCAAGTGTTTTCGATGTCCTAGCTGTGACTGTTTCTTCAACAGATCAGACAACTTGAACCGACATCTTCCAACTTGTAAAGATCGAGTGCGACATTTTTATCCCAAAAATGCGTACACACTACGGGAAACAATATTCGAGAAATTGGATGGCTTCAACATTCCCTACAATGAAGATCAGAAATTGTTTAGCAATGTTGCAGTTTTTGATTTCGAATCGATTTGTGTTCCCACAGAAGAATTGAAAGCAACTGAAACAACTACTTCGATTGGAAAACATGTCCCTATTTCCGTATCAATATCTTCAAATCTGCAAGATGCTCCAATTTTCTTGTGTGAAAAAGATCCAGAACTTCTAATAATTGCTTTTGTTTCCAGCTTGGAACTTCTGGCTGAAAAAAGTAAACTACAAATGAGAACCAAGTTTCAAGAAATCGAAAACACTGTCAATGATAGAGTCAAAAAGATCTTTGATAAGCTGAATGCTAGAACTTTAACTAAAAGACTAGAAGTCTTCGATTATGAAGATGAATGTGTTGAGGATGGCGACGAAGATGACATGTCAACACAATTCTTGAGATTTCAAAAAAATCAGTTGATCGACTTGAAACAGCATTTAGAGCGTTATGTTAATACCTTACCGGTGTTCGGTTTCAATAGCGGCAGATACGATCTGAACCTTATCAAATCTTATTTGATTCCAGACCTTATATGTGATAAAGAAATCGAACCAACAGTCATTAAAAAAGCAAATGACTTCATATCATTCAAATTTGGAGGTGTTCAGTTTTTGGACATAATGAAATTTCTTGGAGGGGCAACAACATTGGATTCGTTTCTGAAAGCCTATAAAGCAAGTGAGACCAAAGTTTTTTTCCCTTACGAATGGTTTGGCAGTCCAGACAAGCTTGACTGTAAGGAGTTGCCTCCATATGAAATCTTTTTTAGCAAACTGAGAAACCACAACCCTCTAGAGAAAGATTTCAACGATTACCAAAAATTGGTTAATGGAGGACTTGATCAACAAAGTGCGCTGAAAAAGTTGCGTATTCAATCAATTCCACCAACAGGTTTTGCAAATTACTCGTTTTTGAGAAACATCTGGGAACAACAAAGCATGATTACTTTCAAAGACATCTTACGATGGTACAACAACAAAGATGTTGTTCCCACTCTTGAAGCTATGCAAAAAATGAGAGAGTTTTACCATGATAAGGGAATTGACATGCTAAAACTGGGATGCACGCTTCCAAATCTTGCAAATATCTGCTTACACAAGTCGACAAATCACAAATTTTACCCGTTCTTTGAAGGAGATAAAGATTTATGAGAGAAAATTAGAGAAGACATGACTGGTGGTCCATCAATAGTTTTTACGCGAAAAGCTGTTGTCGATCAAACTTATATTCGTAACTCGTCAAATATTTGTTGGAATTAACGCTAGCCAATTATATCCATTCTCAATGTGTCAAGAGATGCCAACCGGACTTTACACAAGATGGGAGTATGACTCTGAAACTGATCGTTTTAAAGCTAGAAATAACAGAACAAGAAATTTCGAGAACATGGTTATGTCCTTTTATCAAGAATTGAGACCAGAGTGTAAAATTCAGAGTTTTTACACAACCGGAAAGCAGAAAAAAATTGACTGTTTTCATGCTGATGGTTACTGTGATTTAAAGCTATGGGTTGCTACTATCATTTCTGTTCATGTCAAGAAACCCGTCCATCGTTGTCAGAACAAGATATTGAAAGGGGAAATAAGAAGCGAGAAATGGATGAGTTGAGACGAGAGTACATAAAAGAAAGAGGTTACAAAATTCAGGAAATGTGGGAGTGTGAGTGGTGGAAGCATTTCAAAACAGATTCGTCAATCAAGAATCATATCAAGACAAATTTTCCTTATAAAAGACCTCTGTCTACTGATTCTTTCCTTGAAAAAATAAAGAACAGATCTCTTTTTGGTTATGTGCAATGCGATTTAATAGTTCCTGACGAGTTGAAGCCTACATTTTCAAATTTTCCTCCAATATTCAAAAATATTGACGTCTCCCGAAATGATATTGGAGAATACATGAAAAACTATTCTGAAGAAAACGATTTGCTGAAAAACCCACAACGAATGTTGATTTCCAGTTTTAAATTAGAAAATGGTACAATCATCACACCTCTTCTTAACTTCTATCTAAGTCTTGGACTTCAATGTACAAAAATTTATCGATTTGTTGAGTACACACCTAGGAAATGTTTCAACAAATTTGTTCAATCTGTTGTTGATGCTCGACGAGAAGGAGACGAGAATCCACATTCTGGAGTTGTTGTTGAGACGATGAAGCTTCTCGGTAACAGTTCGTACGGTTATCAAATTATGGACAGATCCAGACACACGATAACCAAATATCTCGGCGATGAGAAGACACACAAAGCAATAAATGAGAAGTTTTTCAAGCGATTGAATATTGTGAAAAAGGACTTATATGAAGTAGAACTATTGAAGTCAACAATTGAACATAGAGAACCAATTATTGTAGGTTTTTTCATTCTTCAATACGCCAAACTTAGAATGTTGGAGTTATACTACAACTTCTTCCACAAGTATTGCGATGAGAATAAATTCGAGGAGTTGGAGATGGATACGAACTCTTTGTATCTAGCATTAGCAGAAGATAACCTGGACGATTGTATATTACCAGAGAAGAAAGCTCAGTGGACACTTATTCGTCGAAATGATTGTAGAGATGACTTTATAGCTGATGCAGATAAGAATTTTTTTCCACGTACATGCTGCGCTGTTCACAAAAAGCATGACAAACGAGAACCTGGATTATTCAAAGAAGAATTTCGCTGTACTGAAATGTTGTGCCTGTGCAGCAAGACGTATTGCTGCTATGATAGTAACAGCGACAAATTCAAATTTAGCAGCAAAAGGCTCAACAAAAGAACGCTAGAAGACACTGGGGATGGACCAATGTCTAAATACAGACGAGTTCTTGACGAAGCTGTAAAATTGAAGTCGACCAATCGCGGATTCAAAACCTCCAACCATTTAGTTGGAACATATGAACAAACTAAAAAAGGACTCAGTTTGTTTTACCCGAAAAGGGAGGTACTTAATGATGGAATACTTACTAAGCCCTTGAATTTGTAAGTTTATTCTATAAACTGTAGTAAAATTTCATACCATACAATGATTTATATGTTATTCAACTTTTCAACTGTAATATAACAATTTACAGTAATTTAATTTTTTTTTCTGAAAAACTTTATTTCTTCTTTGAAGCTTCAGTTAGGTTTCAGCATAGTTTCAGACACTTTCAATTTAAACTCTAATGGTTTAAAACAAAATAAAAATCATATCTTAATACAATGAAAAAATCTAAAACTTATCGCATTGGTGTAGAGAATCTTTAAAAATGGTAAGATCGGGCGCTAAAAATTTTTCTGAAACTTACCATCTGAAACGTACCATCTTAATACATGGGAAACCTATTCCCTACCTTAATACATTGTAGACTCTATACCCAATCTTAATACATAGCTGGCTGACCGGATACTCTATAGCCTATGTTAATACATGGGGGTCAGCCACCTCCCCCCCCCCCCCTGATCACCTCACACATATACTACTCAATCGCGTTTTTCGTTCGAAGTGGATCTAAGAATCAACATTTTTAAACAGTTTTTTTTTCGATGAGAAATTTTTTAAGCTTTTAATATCGTTCAAATCACGACTGAGAGGACTCAAATATTATATACAATTCAACTCTCTCTAATGATTATTTGTGAACGCTGATTTTGCGTGGAAGAAAAAGAAAAAAAAGAAAAGAAAACTAAAACACACCCAAATACAAAGTTTCTCCCATTTTACAATGATCGGAACTTGAATGGTTACCGTACAGACTTGATCTCTAGTTCAATTGTTCTGCATTTCTTAACTTTTTCCTGGTTATTTTTTAAATTTTTTTTCGAGGGTTTTGCTGGCAATAAATATTGATTGATGTAAATTATTGCGTTCTGCAAATTGTAGTTTTTCAGATTCTTTATTTTTTCTGTCTTTCAATCAGCTGTTCTTTTTTTCAAATTATCGCCTTGCCGGAAAATTTTAAGGGTAATTTTTTTTTCGTTCAGACATGGCGGAAAAGTGTTTTCTCTGTCAAACGCAGTCTTACTGACTTTTCTCAGTCGATGTTTTTGACGGTCAAAAACATTGCCAGATCAAAACGCATCTGCTCTTTTGATCACAGAGGTCACAAAAGTACATTTGCTTGGTATAATGCTTCTTCATTCAAGCACTGTCGCGAGACAGAGTAATTATATCGGAAATGGATTGAAACTGCCAAATTATAACCGTCTGAGCCAGTTGGCGCCAATATATACTAATTTTAAGGGGGAGCGCGCGCCGAAAAAACGCAAATGGCCAGAAACGGTTTTTTACCCGTTTTTTAAAAAAATTTGCAGCAAAAACTTTGGAGCAAAAATTTTGGTGAAAATAAGGTCTTTATAGTGTTTTGGGAGTGCTCGGAGAATCAGTTCAGTCCTCGAGAAAATCCCAGATCCGCACCTGGTCTGAGTCGTAGTTCAATTGGCCGAAGCATAAATTGCAAACCTGTAGATCTGGAAACTAGCAAATGTATAAGACAATCTTTAACTCAACTTTGTAAATCTAAACTTTGAACTTTGAACTTAAACAAAAAACTAAATAAATAATTTTATTTATCATAGCAAGAAGGGTAGATTAACTACAATAAATTTTACAGGGAGAAACTCAAACAGCATGCAAGGAGCAGTTCAAAATTTAGCCGCCATCTTTCGTTTATCCTCTGTTCGTCCGAACGATCCGACTTCATTTGTTCAGTCGCTGTTGTCCCCTTCGTGGATCCAATCTTCGTCTTGATACTCGACTTCATCATCCAGACCATCAATTGAGGGTGCCGACAACATTCCTTCACACAACATTCTCATTTACCACTGTCCCTGTGTCATTTTAAAACTCCAATTTCTTAATTTTAGTTTCTGAGATTTTCTTATCTGTGAACCAAATTAATAAAATTTGCCATGACTATTTATACAGATTTTTTTTTTAAAAATTGCCTTTTGATATTAGAAAAAAGTGCTCCAACCGCAGTTATTTCTGGTATGAAATAATATAGAGCAAAGAATTCAAAATTGAACTTCGTTGTGTTCTTGAATGTTCGTGGTTTTTGGCTATTTTGAGCTATTTTTTTAAGTATCTGAATGCCGGTCTGGTGTTTCTCACAAGAAATATAAGCTAACGCGAGTCGCATTTATTTTATTTCTATAACTGATCCGTATCGTGAAAGCTATAATCTAAGACAACAGTTCACTTTGAAGCCCTGTTTCCAAATTCTGATTTTGCTCCACACCAATGAACACTCCGTTATAAAGATTCCAAAAGCTGATTAGAGCAACAACGGTGAAGAAAGTAAGACTTTAAAGTAAGACTCAAAAAGTGAAGAGTTTAAATGAACAAAAAATCATAATAAACCAAAAAATATTTTAAGAAAATTAAAACAAGTTCTGGGTTTTTTGAAAAGATGAACATTTTTTAGATCAAATTTGAAGTAAAATCAAATGAACCGATTTAGTCGATCCACATTCTTCTTCGTCTGCACTTGCTTAACTGTTTCGCACTTGATTTACCTATCCCATGTTGTGAAAAAAGATTGGTTAATTTGATTTGAATTGCTGATTTAATTTGAATTGGTTCTACAAATTGATTTGCATTGGATCACTCTGAGTTGTTCACTCTAGAAATGGTCCTAGTTTGGCTAAGTGAAAAAAAAGTGCGCATTTTATTTCCAATTTAAGGAACCCGCTTTTAAGTGCACAATCAATTCACACAAATGCGGAATCCTTTCATAAGAGTAATGGGGAATCCCAAATCCCTTTCAATATTACCTTGTTGCGAATTCCACGGCACAACTAACGTGCCGCAAAACTTTTGTGACAATGAATTGCTTGACGATTCTGTGAAAAAATTTTTGGTAAATGGGTTCAATGAACAACTTTGAAAATGTTTAAAAACGAATTTCTGGGTTAACGAGACTTGCACATACCAAAACGTGAACGTGGCAAAACTAAGATTGCAATAGATTATCGCCAGTGAAATCTACAGTTCAGCAACTTAGTTTCTTAATGACCTAAATAATAGATTGTTCTGACTATCAAATCGATTATAGTCGATTGCAATTTATACTTATTTTTAATCGATTCGACGGTCATCAAAATTCATTTTCAAGTGCTTATTTTGGTACCTCCATGCAGATTGTATACAGATTTAATCTTGTTTATACTGATGATTTTACTACGTAATTTTGTACGCAATATCTTGTTTATATTGATGATTTTCATGATTTGCGTCGTTTAGTTTGAATTCAACTTTTGTTTTGAGTTTTTAAGAAGCATGCTTCTAAGAGTAACAAAAAATAAACTTTTCAGACAATTTAATTGATTTTTTTGGATCCTTAGAAAATGCATTACAATCGATTAAAATCAATTTTATACAGATTCTGTACATATTCTGTACAGATGAGTTTATACCGCAAAAAATCCATTTTCTAGACTATATAATCAATTTTCTGACCTGTATAAAATCCCTATTTTTGTGTCTAATTCGGTTACATACAATCGAGTTTTTACTAGTCGAAAATCTGTATAAAAATCGATTATAATCTATTGCAATCCGTTTTTTCGCCAATGCAGGCTACTTAAGAATCTCACCTTTTTTGCTCTCATTAATTTTAAGATGGTTTCTTCATACTTGGAGGTTTCTGCCAGTTGAACAACTTTGCAGATTTTTTGTATTTTTGAGATCTTTTCAATACCGTATATTATCCATGTTCAGGTCGTCCTATTTTTCATACCATAATAATTTTCATGTTATATCAAAAATGGTATCAAAGTTCTCTTCTTAAAAAACTTGAAGGATAAGATTGTTTAGTTGATCCCAAAAATTGCAGTTAATAAACTATTGAAAACTTTTTTAATGAGAAATTATAACTTACTTTAGTTAGATACTCTTCATTTTCATTAATTTTTTTGTTATGAAAAAAAAATTGTTCTAAAAAATGTTCACCAATTATACGTGGAGCTGAAGCCTGAGGTGTAAAAATGGCAACACTTGTACGGATGATGGGCACTGGTTTTAGATAGGGAAGGCAGAGGAAAATGGAATTTAGTGAAGCCTTGAAGGGGTATTGGAGTGTTTGAGAGGGTAGTGATATAGTTTTACCCTGGGCGCCGATGACCTGCACAAAGTCTGTGAGAGTGATTGCCCCGGCACATCCTTTGCCCAGTTTCTCAATCATGTCCACAACTTCATCTCTGGACACCATTCCAAATTCTGTCAAACCAATAATAATTTAAGATACAGTTTTAAAACCTGTTGGGGTACCGACGTCATGGTCTCAAGGTTAAAAGAAATACAGAAGGAAGATTAATAACTGAATTAAGATCTTGTTTCTGAACTTGAATTAACGTCCTTGAGTTCTTTGTTCTATGGACTCAGGCACAATGTCTAGACAAGTATTTTATTTAGTTGAACCAAGTCAAAAAGAACTATACATCAAAAAGAACTATACAGTTTTTAAATACTCAGTCAATGGCTTTTCTATACAACTTTTCCCGACCAGTGATTTACTTCAAATCAAATTTACATTACGACTCACTCGGGGGCGGAATAACGATTCTTTAAAGCGTCCGGAAGTAAAATCCCAATAAAGACCCTGCTTAGAGCAAATGTCATTTTTGGGCAATTTTTGGAAAGAACTGGCTAAAAGTTGTGTTTTTTGGAGCAAGTTCCACCTCAAAAGGAGCATATATTGGCGCCAAAGGCACATTTAGAATGTTTATAGGATCGAAACCGAGTGTCGTTAAATATGGCCAAAGCAGGACCCCTCTAATCCCATCCTTGGACTTACGTAAACGTACAATGTCCAATTGTTTTGAAATAAACGAGTTCCAAATAGAATTGGTCCCCACTATAAGCCTTGTAAACTAATGGTTCACACACAAAATCTCTTTTTGTTGGTAGTTGGAAAACTATAATGAACCTTGTCAAATTTTCCGGGGAAATAACCGAAACTTTGACGCCATTTTAAAACAACTCTGAACATATCTTAACTTGGCGAAACTTGGAGAAGGTTGACTTGAATTATGTCTGATGGTATGTCTAAATCGATAGATCGAGGGTTCGAGGCCCGCAGTGATCCGTGCTCGTTGCTTGCGGTTGTGGATGACACAAAATTACCAGCAGAGAACTAACTGACCATGTTTTTCTTATCGCTTTTGGTTGATTGATTTTAATTAATTTAGAGTTATAATCAATAAAATCAGTCCACTAACTCTTCAAGCTCTCCCACATTTGGTCGCAAGAGATGACCCCGTCCCTGTCGCTGTCTATAGTCTCAAACGTCCTCTTCAACTCTTCTTCACTCAATGGACCATCCACACACTTCAAAATCTCCTCCAGCAACCGCACAAAGTCTACATTGCCATTGTTCTGCTAAGAAAAATCAACAGTGAAACAAAAAAGTTTTTTCTTAGAAGTATATGGTCACATTTTGAAATTCGTATAGAATAATAGTCCCATTACAAACCTCATATAGAAGTATGATCTCAAAGAACTTCAAGAAGATTTCGAGTGGATAGATAGACAAATTTTATAAATGAGCTTTTTGAGTAGGAATCATTAAGTTCTTCATAGTGGACGTTTTTTCTAATCAACACAATCTACGTTTTTAGTTTTTTATTAAAAGTTTTTTTTGATATCATGTCGTTCACAGTAAATCATTTGCTCACCATCAATTGAAGAGGCTTGAAAATTTAGAGCTCATATATTATAATCAGTTAGTATAATAATAGGCCATGGTCCCTTCCTAATTTTTCAGATTGGGTTATGAGCATTATTGCGAAGTATTTGACCGTAAACAGGTTTTGAGCTCCAACTATTTCAAGAAAAGTTCCAGATAACTTTTTCTCTCCTGATTGATAGCCTCCACATTTTAGCACGGTTCTAAAATATTATTGAAAAATATCATAATTTACTATATTAACTTTTGGCTCCGAAACTGTCTTAGTCTTCAATTTTTTTTAAACACTATTACTTTGTAACTTACCTGATAACTGATATGCAGAACCTTTGCCTTATCTTCTGAACAGCCAGGCTGTGATGAAACTAAATGAGCCGGATTTTCGTTGGTATTTTCTTCGCTGGCCAATGACAGTATCTTCTTCGCAAAGTCAAGTGAGATGTTTTGCTGGCCGTTGTCCTGAAAGTAGTGACCAATTTTTCAATATCGTCTTCTGCTCTTGAGGTTTGAGATTATTTGAACTATGCAACAACAAATATTTTCGAATAGCAAAATCACGGGAAAGCAAACCCGTTGTCTTGGAATACGAATCTGCGAGATTATTTTAAGAAAATACAGTAAACTTGCAGTTTTCCTGCAAGATTTTTGCAAGATTTGCTTTCATCTCGTAAAAAATAAGCAGCTCTTTTCAAATCTTTCTGCTGTTTTGATACTTTTAGTGTTTTATTAAATCTCTGCATATGTTTTATGATTATTTCTCCTACTGAATCTTTATTTCTGTAGATGAATCTTAAACGCTATCAACTAATGAAGCAATAATTAGACAATTTTTTCTTTTTTCTTACTTTAAAAGCTTCCTTAAGATCGACTGCAGTCACTGATCCCTCCCCCTTCACCTTTTTCCAATCAAGTTCATCCGGTCTTCTCCCCTCGAAGTCCTCTTTGAGCCAATCTGGCATCACATCCCACACCTGCCCCGGATTGGTCCAAATTTCCACCCAGTCTGAAGTATAGCAATGCGTGTATTGATATTTTTTTTACATTTGAGTTCAGAGAGTCGATATCTTAAATAGGGCATAAGAAAAGCTGTGAAAAAGTTAGTAGTCGTCAAAATTGGTCTGAATTAGAGACACCACCTCAAGCTATAGCAATGAAAATGTTCAGGAAAAGATGCAAAGACAGGACAAAATTTTTTCGAAAAGAGGAGCAAAAGATGAAATAATTGAAGAAGAAAAATGATTCTCATGATGAGGCCACCCCTAGTTGCGAAGTTCTTTCCATTCTCAACCGAGCAGCTCTGCTTCACTTTTTATTCAAACATTTGTACAAAAACGGTTGATAACCAAAAAGGTCAAGTCTAGCAAAAAAAAACACTTCTTTTTAGAGTTTTTTGTGCTCGTGGTGGTTTGCTTTTCTAATTCAGAGCAATTTCGACCAAAAATATTCCACGATATTTTTTATGCTCTAATGAAGATAGTGACTCTCTGAACTCAAATGTAGAAAAACTATTTTATATTTCATTTGCAATTAGTTTTACTAGCATCAGTTTTAAAAAAGCCATTCAACCCATTTTCTGAACTAATTTAAGCACGCGTTTGAGATTTTAGCTATTGATGAATCTTAAACGCTATCAACTAATGAAGCAATAATTAGACAATTTTTTCTTTTTTCTTACTTCAAAAGCTTCCTTAAGATCGACTGCAGTCACTGATCCCTCCCCCTTCACCTTATTCCACCTTATTCCTAGTTTCAGCTATTGCGAAGTTTTTAGGCATGTAGATCTAACCTACTGTGATATTCCCTAACTGTAGCGAGCTTGTTGGAATAAAAGATAAGAATAATACTGTTATTTAGCTTTCTTAGCTGATGTTATCGAAGTTTCCGTAGCTGAGATTAGTTACTGTTAAGCATAATGACGTTTGACACACTGGCTAATTTACCGTAAGATTATAGCACCACCGAATGGCCTTGACCACACTTTCATAATAATAGCTTAATGATGTAGAATTAACACATATGATTATTGCAGTTGCAGTAGCTTACAAACTGTCCTCAAGGTTACCTACTGCTAACGCAGTACCACATTCCCCCAAGGACCAAGAAAATTTTATCAACTAAATATAAAATTTTATAATAAGATAACAATAACACGAGTTTTTTACTCCGTTTTGTGATCCCATCGGTGATAAAAGTTTTTAATGAATAGTTTTCCATTCTTCTATTTTTCATTTCTTAATTTCCAGAGGCACTTTCCACTGATTCTTCCATGGATGTGTCGTGTCTAACGCATCATACCCAAATTTTCTCGGAATAGGTGACGTTCAAGAAGCTTCAATCGAGTTTCCATCGGTTTGATCTTATCCGTCTTCACATTAGCCAAACTAAATCTGTATTGCTCCAAGGCCATTTCGTTCAGGTCTGCAACCTCCTCGCCCGTACTAATATACTTCACCGAATGTTTCACTGAACTGCCCAATCTTTCACGCCCTTGGTTTTTCGTAGCTCGCTTACTTCGCCTCACACTCGTTCCAGTTTGTTCATCTACAACCGAATCATCCGAGATCTCGGACGGAGAACAATGCTCGCCTGTTGTCTCTGTTTGATTCTTAGCTCTAGATTTTGCGTTTTTACTCCGCTGTCCTTTGCAAACCTCTTGTCAAGACTTGGTCTGCGAGACTTTGCCATTCCTCTGGGGCCATGTCCTGATTTTGAAAGGCATTTAGAATTGAACTAGGGGAAGTGTCTCTAGTAATACGTTTCTTCGATGGTTTAGCTTGAGTATTAGCCCAACCCTCCGAACTGCTTGGCTGATCTGATGGAATAATCGTTTCCAATTATTCTGACGTTCGGACCTCTTCTGCTGTTTCTGCAGCTTTCATCTTGTCCTATTTGCCTTTCGACATGATCGTTACCTCATTTTGACCTTTTGTTTCCCCTACCGATTTGAGTGCCACTTGATCTTGCGTTTTCGATCCCATTTTTGTTGGACCACCGAGATTTTGCTTCGCTCGCTTCACTGCCAAATTAAGGTCTCCACCGGTTGGTGTCTCCCGAGGAGTGACTACAGTCTCGCTATCCTGAAAAAGGTCCTTTATCTGTTTACTCGATATGTTTTGGTCTTCTTCCTCAGACTCCGTATCGTCGTTTTGCTCCGCATCTTTCTTTTGGTGCTTGCTCTTTGGTTCTTCCAGTAGACTTTTTGCTTTTTCCTTCTGACAAAATCCTTCCTGAGGTGTATTCTTTGGAGGACTCGCCACCTTCGCCAAATCACTTTTACGATAGACTGCTCCTGCAGCTGTTGTTACAGTTTTCGGCGACTCAGTTGCTACTTTTCCTTTGAAGGGTTTAGTCAAAGCCGCCCCACTTTTGCGCGTCTCATCCCTGCGAATGAGATTATGACTATATCACTCCGACCCCTTCGGTTTATCCTCGACAAACCCCTTCTCTCATGAATATAGGAGTTCTTTACCTAATTCGGGGTCGATAGTGCTAGTGGCATCCACTAGTTGTTGTAGATTGTGTCCGTCGTATCTACGTCATTCTGCGTTCCAGTTGGCGTTCGCTTCTAACAGTGTGCGGAGAGTTCTTGCTCGATTCTTCTCCTGAGCTGACATATTCTCTTTTTTGAAAAGAGGGCTGACATCCCGACTCTTTTGACTCTTCTTTACGATTTTGAGTGTATCCCGAGATTGATCAATCCTGTTCTTTAACTGACTAGCGGTTAGTGCCGATCTCTCCAGGTGCTGTTTATCTAAATGATCAGAAAAGTCTACGAATTTATCTCGCATAATCTTAAACTCCGTTTTTGGTAATCTACCAAAATGTGCTTCAAACGGTGATTTCTGAATGGTTTTCTGTTTAATCCACCGCATGTCCCGAATTATTGTGCTAAGACATAATTTAATCGATTTTACATTCTCTTCAAGTAGCATCACCCCAAACGGCTTTTTATAGTTTGTATTGTTCTTTCAACTAAAACACAACCACGATGGTCTCCCACCGGACAAAACTTTTGTTCGATGTTGTTTTCAAGGCAGAAATTTTTCATCGCTTTTCCTTTGAACCCCGAGAACTGGTCAGTTTTTATCGATTCTGGGATTCCGTGCGTATCTATGTACGATCGTAAAAATTTAATAGTAGATTTTCCCCCCGTTGATTTTGTTACTTTAACCGAAGGAAATTTTGAGTAACGATCAATCGCTGTTAACAAGTAAGTTTTCTTCCCCTTACAATCTTCTAAGGGTCCCTCGTAATCTAACTGAACCTCCTGCCCGGGCTGCGACAACAGCGGCAGTGGTTGCGAAGAGTTTTTTGGTGAAATAAATGTTGCATTCTTGCCATAACGTGTACATTCTCTACACTCCTCCGCAAGATTTACAATATCCTTCTGCATGTGGGGCCACCACAAATAATTCGACACATCCAGCATAGCCTCTTGCCCCGGATGGCCTCGATGAATTCGCTTCATGACTGCTGGTCGAAGTTGTATCGGAACTGCTAGCCGATTGTCTACTAGAGTGCAGTCGTCTACTACCGAAAGTTGATTCCACAATGGGTTCGTTTACGGGCCCATGAGTTCAATTCCTGCCCGGTCCTTCCGCTCTATCACCCGACGTAAGCGATCCATGCACACATCTTCAGAGATGAGTTCGGCCAATAGCGTTTTGTCAAATAATTTAGACAGGCTAAAGTTCCCAACGTTGCTCATATCTGCTAGTGAGTCGTCTAGCTTTGTTTGACGTTTGTTGACCCTTCGTGTTGATTGAATCGCACTTACGTCTTCACTGTTATCGTCGTCCTCCGCGGTTAGGTCTGATTCGATGATGGATTTAGCAGGGGAAATTGAACGAGTACCTGATCTCGGACTACCTGTAATCATCTGAGTTGCCACCTCTAGCTCTTTAATATTTCCCGTGAACTCCTTATCCTGACCAACTAAATCCCATATGGATATCAAGTTTTTCGTCTCCACTGCGTCCTGGTCCCACAGTACTGCTCGTGCTGCAAAGTTATCCTCGTCCAAACTGTCTGACCCCGATCTGTCCAGCGTTCCTCTCCTTATCCGGCATGTTCGATGGAAAGTATTTTCCGTTATTTTTTCCTCCGTCAATTTTTCTCTCTCCTCCTGTGTCCTACAGTCTCCGATCCGCATCATCTTCTTTTTTCGGTTTTTTGCTCTCCATCGCTGTTGAAATCTTGTCTTTATTCTGAATTAAATTGACCGCCTGAACTGCTCTCGTGCAATTGAGAAAAGTGTTTTGATTCAACGCTTGATTAACAGGCAAAAAATTTGAATCGGAGTCGTTTTCGTTCCAGTCGAGCTTTGTTCGGTTTTTGACCGTTTCGTTGCTATGGCAACCATGCCTGGAATTCAACAACTTGTCTTCTCGTTTCTGTTTTTGAGAATGTTCTAGAAGTTTTTCATTCTGAATAACTGAATCAGTAGCATTCAGCCGATTGTGCAAACAGTCGAGTGCCCTATGAAAACACTCAATTGAAGTATCAACAAATTTTTCATCTAATTTTGTTTCTGGCCAAGGCTTTCCTGTTGGTTCTCCAGAAAGATAATCAACGATCCCCATATCCTTTCCAGGAAAATGCACAATTTTAAATTGGTATGGCAATGATCTATCCACCCATCTCGTTAACCGCGATTGATAGGTC